GAACCAGGTGGATGAGGTAGATGAGGCTTTCTTCGGACAACTGAGCGAAGCTTCCAGATCGCAGGCCCTGGTTCTCGTGGGGGACTTTAATCACCCTGACATCTGTTGGGAAACCAATACGGCAGTACACAGGCAATGAGTGAAGTTTTTGGAGACTGTTGGGGATAACTTCTTGACACAAGTGCTGAAGGATCCGACCAGGGGCCGTGCGCAGCTTGACCTTCTGCTCACAAACAGGGAGGAACTAATAGGGGAAGTGGAGGTGGGTGACAACCTGGGAAGCAGTGATCATGAGATGGTAGATTTCAGGATCCTGACCAAAGGAAGAAAAGAGAGTAGTAAAATACACACCTTGGACTTCAGAGGAGCAGATTTTGACTCCCTCAGAGATCTGATGGGCAGAATCCCCTGGGATGTTAACATGAAGGGGAAAGGAGTCCAGGACAGCTGGCAGTATTTTAAAGAAGCCTTATTGAAGGCACAGAAAGAAACCATCCCGGCGCGTAGCAAGAGAGGCAAACATGGTAGGAGACCGGATTGGCTTACAGGGGAAATCCTTGGTGAACTTAAGCACAAAAAGGAAGCTTACAAAAAGTGGAAACTTGGACAACTGACCAGGGAGGAGTTTAAAGGTATAGCTCGAGAATGCCGGGGGGGTTATCAGGAAGGCGAAAGTGCAAATGGAATTGCAACTGGCTTAATTATGTGAAGGATAACAAGAAAGGTTTCTACAGGAATGTTAACAAAAAGAAGGTGATGAGGAGAGGCTGAGGGAGTTGGGTCTGTTTAGTCTGCAGAAGCGAAGAGTGATGGGGGATTTGATAGCAGCCTTCAACTTCCTGAAGGGATGTTCACAGTAGTGACAGATGGTAGAACAAGGAGCAATGATCTCAAGTTGTGGTGGGAGAGGTCCAGGTTGGATATTAGGAAAAACTGTTTCACTAGGAGGGTGATAAAGCACTGGAACGGGTTACCTAAGGAAGTGGTGGAGTCTCCATCCCTAGACGTGTTTAAGTCTCGGCTTGACAAAGCTCTGGCCGGGTTGATTTAGTTGAAATTGGTCCTGCCTAGAGCAGGGGGCTGGACTCGATGACCTTCTGAGGTCTCTTTCAGTTCTATGATTCTATGATTCTATTAGTGGGGATTTGATAGCAGCCTTCAACTTACTGAAGGGAGGTTCCAAAGAGGCTGGAGAGAGGCTGTTCTCAGTAGTGATGGATGGCAGAATAAGGAACAATGGTCTCTAGTTGCAGTGGGAAAGGTCCAGATTGGATATTAGGAAAAACTATTTCACTAGGAGAGTAGTGAAGCATTGGAATGGGTTACCTAGGGAAGTAATGGAGTCTCCATCGCTAGAGATTTTTAAGTCTCAGTTTGACAAAGCCCTGGCTGGGTTGATTTAGTTGGGATTGGTCCTGCCTAGCGCAGAGGGCTGGACTTGATGTCTTTCTGAGGTCTCTTCCAGCTCTATGGTTCTATGATTCTATGATGAAACTTCTTCACCAACATGGCTTTTTAAGTGGCACAAAAAACATGGATGTGATTTTTACTGAGGAAACCAACTGAGTCCTTAGTGTACTAACAATTCTGAGTATGCTCTTCTAAAAATTAAAATATTACAAATTTACATTAGTAACAGAAAAATTCAGATCATGAACTATTTTATAAAATCATGGCCATAATGTATTCAGATTGCAGATGATCATTAAATAATGTGTGTATACGGTACCACAGGTAGACATCACTTTATATAGAGCACGTAACTCTGGTCCAAAGGACACAATAGATAGCCCAAGACATGACACATGGGGAGAGTTAATTTAGAGATGGAATCTTTCATTCTAAGGCCAGAATGGACCATTGCCAACTTCTAGTCTGACCTCCAGTGTAACAATGGCCATAGAAAGACACCAAAATAATTCCTTTTGAGCTAACGCATTTCCCAGGTTCTTGTGTTCCTTGTGGTGGTCTATGAGTGGAGAGGCCTAGGGAAGGCACAAAATCACTTTTGGTAGAAGGAAAGAGAAAGTGCATGGAGGAAATAGAACTAGTAGAGTTCAGGGCTGCACTGACAATTTACCAGGAATCTAAGGCTGTACCCTGAGATAAAAACCATGCCAACCACAATCACTCCAGCTTCACTGTAGACACCTGTCCTACATGGGCCCAGAACGCAAAGAGGACCATGGAGAACAAGTCCTAGCAAGCAGACTGGTCACTGAGATTAAGTTGAAGCTTGGCCTGCAGCCTTGACACACTGTTATACACTGTGCTACTTGTAGAATTCCAGGGGCCATACCAAGTCTGTACTTGGGGTTGTGTATCAACTCAAACCATCTCTCAGAAATTAAAAACTCTTTGGATGGAAAGACTCAAAGATTACAAACCCAAGCAATGTTTTATGCTGCAGAAGAAACCCAAGCACTGTTTAGTGCTGTAGAAGAATGGAGCTGCTCATACACACAAAGGCTGACTATAATGTACCTCTGCACTTGACAGCATCTTGGGCTTATATGCCTCCTTCCCAAGTTTCCGATATGGGTTCTCAGTGACATCCTGTGGCTGTTTCACTAGCTCTGTGAGGTCCATTGAGCTCATTGGGAGAATACTGAATGCATAGAGATACTGGAAAAAACAAAAATGACTTAACACAAAATCAGCTTCAGTGCAGATGCTAGCTCTGAAAATGAACCATTGCTTCATAACAAGCATTCAATTCCTTTTACTTTTCCATTTTTAGGATGTTTCTGATCAACAAGAGTAATCTAGAAGTAGTGTTCAATAAATGGATTATAGAAAACAATAAGGAAAAGTGACAAATCCCTTTACTCTGATAACACTTGTTCACAATTCCCCCCCTCCCCCGCCCCATTCCCCTCCAAAAAGTCAAAACCCACCTTTCCCTCTAAGGTTTCTTGGAATCTTTGGTGGGTCCAACATCTCAAAAATGGTTACGTACCTTCTTGTAACTGCCGTTCTTTGAGATGTGCTGTTCATGTCTAGTCCAAATTAGGTGTTCATGCATGCATGTGTACCTTAGCTGGAAGATTTTTTCCTCCAGCAGTTAGCTGTAGAGTTGATCTGGGCACCTCCTGGAGTTGCACTCCATGGTGTGCAATATAGCACCCCGCCAACTCCTCCCACCTCGGTTCCTTCTTGGCAGTTGTTCCAACAGAGGGGTGAGAGGGAGTGTATTGGAATGGACATGAACACCACATTTCAAAGAGCAACAGTTACAAGAAGGTACATAGCCATTTTTTCTTCATGTGGAAAGGAGGGGAGGGATAGCTTAGTGGTTTGAGCACTGGCCTGCTAAATCCAGGCTTGTGAGCTCAATCCTTGCGGGGGGCCATTTAGGGATCTGGGGCAAATCTGTCAGGGATGGTACTCGGTCCTGCCATGAGAGCGGGGGACTGGACTCAAGGACCTCTCAAAGTCCCTTTCCAGCTCTATGAGATAGGAGTGATTGTTCATGTGCATTTCAAATTAGATGATTCCCAAACCAAGGTTCAGGAGGAGGTGGAACTCTATAATGATTTGTAACATGATTCTTCCAAAGGTCACATAATCCCTAAACTGCTGGGTGATAATATAGTGCAACTAGAGGACCACATTGCAGCCCTGCAGATTTCCTGAGTAGGAATATGAGCCAGGAAAGGTGCATATGAAGCATGTCCCTAGGTAGAATGTGCTGAAAGTGACAGCAGAGTTATGTCTGTTAATTAGTAACACTCCTTGATGCAGGATACATCCATGATAAAATGCACTGCGATGACACCAGCTGATCCTTCATTCTCAGCCACCACTCTGAACAATTGAGAGGACTGCCTAAAGGGCTTGACTTGGCTTAGCTCTGTCACCTACCATGTCTGGTAGACAGAAGATAGTCAGGAAAAGAAGGTAAGGGAACAACAGATCCTCCACCATACCCTCAAAAACTGCCACCAATGGTTTGATGAGAGTTTTGACTGGCCAGAATCTTGTCCCAATGATGGCTGCTGCTGATGTGCCCTGTCATTTCTGTTTCTTCTCCTAAGGCCTTCTTGGTGGCCCTGAGGAAGGTAAGGGCATGACTGTGCTTGAGGCATAAAGTGATTGCACTGGTGGCTGGGACGTGGAGACCTAATGTTCTAAGGGTTGTTCTAGAATCTCTCTCTCTGGAGTCTCTGATCTGTTTTCTCAGAGAAGGATGTACTCTCAAAAGGAAGGTCCAGTATCGTGCTGGACCTCATAAGGCAGGCCAGAATCTTGTAGCCAGACCCCTTTTCTCATGGCAATGCCAGTGGCCATGATCCATGTAACTCATCTGCAGCATCTAAAGCAGCCTGCAGGGACATCCTGGAAACTAGTCTTCCTCTAACCACCAAGAATTTGGCTCCGGAGTCTTGAAAGAGCAGTTCCGTGAATTTTGAGAGGGCACTACAGGTGTTAAAACCATATCTGCTAACCAGTGCTTGTTGGTTAGCAATTCAGGGTTGAAGATCCTTTGTACAACAAAACTCCCTGCCATAAAGATCAAAGTGTTTTGCCTCTCTGTTCTTTGGGGAATGGCCCTGAAGACCTTGGCATTCCCAATGGTTAGCTACATTGACCATTAGGGAAATCTAGGGGAGGATGAGAGTAAAGATGTTTGTATCCCTCAATGGGATGAATATCACCTCTTGTTACACTTGGCAGTGGGCAGCAGTGTCTGCCATAGAGTTTTGGTAGCATCCAAAATGGACTCAATGAGAAGGCAATGTGGCCAGAGGTAGAGGAAGGCAGGATGTCTATCACAAGGTCAACATCTTCTACAACCTCCTCAGCTTGAATGTTAAGACCCTGAGCCCTAATTCTAAGAAGCTTTATAATCCTCCAACACGGGGGCAGTACTTGAGTCTGCTACTGCCTCAACTGGAGAAGATGAGGAGGAGGTACTGATCAAGGGCTGGAGCTCCTGTTGAACAGGGCTCATCAGGGTAGGTGGTGGCACTGCTGTGTCAACAGATTCTAATGGTGCTAAGGGAGGTGCCAGACGTGTTGGTACTGGCATTGGTGCAGTGGTCAATACTGGTGCCTGCACCTGTACTGGGATTATATCTGGAATTGGTGCCAGTGTTGTCAATGGTATCAGTGTCGGCGCCAAGGAGACAGGTACCAGTGTTGGTATTACAGACACAGTTGGTCCAGGAGCAAGGAGTATCTGCGGTGTCAGGTCTGGTAACAGCGTTGACACTGCAGCCAGTATAGGTGCAAAATGGATTGAGGGTTCCATTCCGTGTGCTGTCCCCAAAGTTGATGGTGCCCATGGCAGGACAAAGGTGGCCAATGCCATTGTTGATGCCCTGGAGTGACGGCTTGGGTTTTGACCCTGGCTTTGGTGAAAAGCCCATGGCACCCAAAGGGCCACTGGGTAGTTAGCTCCCACTGATCTGCCCATGGTGCCACGTAATGTCATTCCTGGATGGAAGTTGACAGCCTGCTGGTTTTTGATAGGATTGGCCTGAGTCAGACTCTGATTCCAAGGTGTCTGTACAAGACGACCAAGGAAGAGTTGAACTTCCCGGCACAAAGCCACGGCATGAAGATTCACTTCTTGGACTTGTAAGTGGGAGATCTCCCTTGTGTCAAGGCTCTTTCTTTTGTGGCACTGAAGATGGCGAGCAGTGCTGTCAATGCATGCTCCGAGACAAGCCCAACAGGTGCTGAGAGTCTTGATATTGCCTTAAGTTGACTTGATTGCGTTGGAGCGCTATGCACCAAGGAAGATGCACTCAGTGCCAAGCCAGCTGATGCACGTTTTGGTTGGGGCCACAGAGCTGCTTCCATGAAAAGAACTTTCAGTTGCTGATCTCTACCTTTGAGAGTTCATGGTTTGAAGGTTTTACAAATTGCACATCAGTCCTTCTGATGACTTTTTCCCAAATAGCAGGAAGTGAGGGGGTCACTTGTAGGCATATGTTTGATAAGGAAGTCACAGGCTTTGAAGCCTGGAGACCCAGGTATGCCCTGGTGTTGAAGCACACAGGAGGGATAAAAATCAACCTTCCAAAAAGAAACTAACTATTCAATTTGCTACATCTATAACTATGAACTATTTGACTATTAACTATAACTATTTAACTATAAATAACTAGGTATTAGGAACAATAGAGAAGCTGCTGATCCTATATATAGGAGCATAGGGAACATTACTTGAGTGATGAGACTCCAACTTTGCACTGTTGCAAGTCTGTATGTAGATGTGACATCGGAAAGGCTCCATCAGCCATTAAATGACCCCAGTCATACTCTAAAAATAAATTAAGTGACCAAAGATATGCTTGTTTCCACAATATCTCTAGAAGAAAAAAATCAAAATCTGTCATTACCTTTTTTTTGCTTGTATTGTCAACGTTGGCCAGTGCTATAAATCTGCTCACATGCTGTGTATTCTCCTGTAGAACCACATGGTTTCTTTGGAAAAAGCAAACATTTTAAATGCATTTTGACAAAATTATTACAGCAGAAGTTACTGTTTGCTCACTGTTATTACTAACTACCAGGCAAAGAATGAATAAACTAGGGATGTAAGGGTATGTCTTCACTAGCCACCCTAGTTTGAACAAGGGTGGCTAATGTAATCATTCAAACTTGCAAATGAAGCCTGGGATTAAAATATCCCAGGCTTTATTTGCATGTTCCCGGGTGCTGCCATTTTTAAATGCCCAGTAGTTTGGACTCCCTGCCCGCGGCTACACGCAGCACGGGCTAGGTAGTTCAAAGCCCCTAATTCGGACTACTGTTACTCTTCCTGCAATGAGGTAGTTTGGAAGGGAGTCCAAACTACCAGGCATTTAAAAATGGCGGCGCCCAGGTACATGCAAATAAAGCCCAGGATATTTTAATCCCGGGCTTCATTTACAAGTTCAAATGATTACATTAGCCACTCTAATTCGAACTAGGGTGGCTAGTGTAGACATACCCTAAGAATTTAACCATTTAACTGATAAGCAGGAGTTTATTGGTCCTGGTTGAACTCTTCTGCCTTGCTGGCACATGCCACCTCCTGGCTGCCAGACCTACACTGCAGGCTCTGTAGTGTAAGGCTTATACTGCAGAGCCCACAATGCAGCTGCCTCACCAAGATCGGGGCTGGCAGCCGGGAGCTGGTGCATGCCAGGAGCCAGCTTTTATAGTATACTATAAGCCAGCTCCTGGTGCGCACTGGCTCTAGCTGCCAGCCTCATTCCTGGGGAGCCAGCTGTGCTGCAGGATCTGCAGTATAAGCCTTATACTTATACTGCAGCACGTGTAACTGCTAGGATTTTTGTAATGGTTCAAATTCAAGGCCTATTGTGATCATCTAGTCTGATGTCTTGGGTAACATAGACCACCGAAAAATATCCAATCTTAATTTTAAAACTGTTAGCATTAGAGAATCCACCATGATTCTGGGTACATTATTCTAGTGATTAGTTACATTAAAAACGTATGACTTCTTTCCAGTCTGACTCTGTCTAGATCCAGCTTCCAATCACTGCACCTGTTATACCTTTGTCTAGTAGACTAAAATGTTGATAGTTAAATATTTGCTCCCTTGTATCATAGAAAATTAGGTTTAGAACAGATTTCAAAAGGTCAACTAGTTCAATTACCCTGCTCAAAGGACCAACCCTAACTACATCATCCCAGACATAGCTTTGTTAAGCCCAACCTTAAAAATTTCTAAGGATGGAGATTCTAACACCTTCTTAGGAAACCCATTGCAGTGCTTCACCATCCTCCTAGTGAAATTTTCATAATATCCAATCTAGACCTCCTCCACTGTAACTGGCGACCATTGTTTCTTGTTCTGTCCTGTGCCACAACTGAGAATAGCTTGGCTTCATCTTCTTTGGGACTCCCCTTCAGGTAGTAGAAGGCTGCTATCAAATCCCCCCTCATTCTTCTCTTCTGCGTAAACAAGCTCAGGTTCTTTAGCCTCTCCCCATAAGTCCTGTGCCCCTGCTCCATAATCGTTGTCTTCTGTTGGATACTCTCCAATTTGTGCACATGCTTTCTGTAGTGGAGGGCCCAAAACTGATGTGGCCTCACCAGTGCTGAATAGAGGGAAATAATCACTTTGCTTAATCTGCTGGTAATACTCTTACTAATGCAGCTCAATATAACATTAGGCTTTTTGGCAACAAGGGCCAGTATCCATATTGGCTCAAATCCATCTTTTTATCCACTGTAATCCCCAGGTCTTTTTCTGCAGAACTGCTGCTTAGCCAGTCAGTCCCCAGCTTGTAGCAATGACATCAGCCAACTCTCTGAGCACCCTCAGATGCATTAGATCCGGCCCCATAAACTTGTGCATGTCGAGCTTTTCAAAATAGTCCTAAACCTGTTCTTTCATTACCAAAGGCTGCTCACCTCTTCCCCACACTGTACTGCACAGTGTAGCAATCTAGAAGTTAATCTTGTCTGTGATGATTGAGGGAAAAAGAGCATTAAGTACTCCATCTTTTCCCACATAATCTGTCACTAGGTTGCCTTCCTCATTCAGTAAGGGTTCCACACTTTCCCTGAACACTTTCTTCTGGCTAACATCTCTGTAAAAACCCTTCTTGCTACCCTTCACATTGCTTGCTAGTTACAAATCCCGTTGTGCTTTGGCCTTCTTCTTTACACCCCTGCCTCCCTAGTCATTTGTTTAGGGATAGCTCAGTGGTTTGAGCATTGGCCTACTAAAGCCAGGGTTGTGAGTTCAATCCTTGCAGAGGCCATTTGGGGCACAAATTTGTCAGGGATGGTACTTGGTCCTGCTGTGAAGGCAGGGGACTGGACTCGATGACCTTTCAAGGTCCCTTCCAGTTCTAGGAGATAGGCGATCTCCATTAATAAATACTTGTAATCTTCCTTTTTGTGTTTAAGCTCATTAAAGATTTCTCTGTTAAGCCAAACTGGTCGTCCACCATATTTGCTATTCTTTCTGCGTGGTATGTTCCTGTGTCCTCAATAAAATAAGGCTTCTTCAAAATACAGCCAGCTCTCTTGGACTCCTCTATCCCTCATCTTAGCCTCCCAAGGGATCCTGCTAATCAATTATCTAAGAGAGTCAAAGGTACTTGTAGGTACTTTGACTATAATCAAGTCAGCCTTCAACCTTCTCTTTCTTAAATTAAATGAACTGAGCTCCTTGAGTCCATCACTATTAGGGGTGTTTTCTAATACTTTAATCGCCATTCTGGCAATTCTCTGAACCCTAACTTGCCTGGGCACTCATTAATGGATATCAAAATCACGGCATTGTTTCAGGCCAATTCCACAAGCCAATTACAAAGGGAAGCCTTAGAACTTAACTTCATTTACGGATTTGATTCCTATAACAAAGGTATAAATAAAGACATTGACTGGACTCCACTACATTCCACATCCTAATGACATGAAAAACCAAACAATGGGTACTTAAGAACAATTTGCACCTTCTCTATCAGCTTCATGTACCATGGAGAGACTGACTATTTCTTTACCCTTTTTACCTCCTCCTCTCTGTCCTCCCCCCATTCTCTATTTATGGACCATTAATAACTCCGTTCATCTGAAATGGGTTGCGCCCATGAAAGCTCATGATACCATCTACATGTTTTGTTAGTTTTTAAGGTGCTGCAAGACTATTCATTGTTTTTTTTAAGCTTCAGAGTGGTAGCCGAGTTAGTTTGTAACAGGAAAACATTAAAAAATAACAGTAGCACCTTAAAGACTAACAAAACATGTAGATGGTATCATGAGCTTTCATGGGCGCAACCCATTTCAGATGAACGGAGTTATTAATGGTCCATAAATAGAGAATGGGGGGAGGACAGAGAGGAGGAGGTAAAAAGGGGGCACAAGGGGAAAAAAATGGAGGGGAGGGAGAAGCGTTCTGCTGGTAAGTATGCACAAGTGCGTCAACGTATTGCGATACAGAAATAAGCAGCCTGTAAGTCGAGGACTGCGAACCAATCTCCCTCATTCAGAGCTGGTAAAATTGCAGCTAGGGTGGCCATTTTGAGGCGTTGTTTCCAGAGGTATCAATTTAGGTTTCGTAGGTCCAATATAGGTCTCCATACTCCGTTCTTCTTTGGAGTAAGGAAATATCGAGACTAGAACCCTTTTCCCTGGACACTCTCGCTATTGCTCCAATGTTGAGTAGATGATGGACCTCTTGTTTCAACTGATCCTCATGAGATGGGTCCTTGAAAAGGGACAGAATGGGTGGGGTGAAATGAAAGGAATGGTAAGACCAGAAGCTACAATTTGTCTGTGGTGATAGTGGACCAACGATGGTAATAGGGTCTTAAACGATGTTGGAAAAGAAGTGAGGCGGGAGTTTTGTTCGCATCCTCGACTACACCTTCAAATTTGCTGTTTCGTAGACGTCTGATTTGAGGTACGGTTTGGCTGCTGTCATCTGTGCTGAGGACGCTGATAGACTCATTGATGCTCCTGGGTATGAGGTTGCTGCTTATGGAAGGAGAAATCATATAATAATGCCTTCATCTGAAGGGGAGTGTACACATCCCTAGTGTGCGAAGCATAGTTCAGGAATCCTTCCCTGAGTGCAGAACCTCATCTGTTTTGTTAGTGAAAAGTTTGTGCTTGTCAAAGGGCAAGTCCTCAACCTTATTCTGGAGTTTCTTGGGGACTGCTGCAGATGACAACCATGAAGATCTTCTCATTGCCACACCTGTTGCAGTGGCTCTTGCAGCAGTGTCTGCCACATCCATGGCGCTCTCCAATGCAGCTGTGCATGCGGCGTACCCTTGTACTATGGATTTGAGTAGCGGTCTTTTTGAGTGAGGGAGATGTTGTAGAAGGGCTGCCAATTCTGAATAATTGTCAAAGTTGTGGTTGGAAAGGTGAGCGGAATAGTTGGCAATACGTATTAGTAACGTAGCTGATGAATACACTTTCCTTCCAAAGATATCTAGCTTTTTATTATCTTTTTCTGGAATGTTATTTCTATACTGTGGCACCTTTGATCTATGTTGCACCGCATCAACCACCAATGAATTAGGTTGTGGGTGGTTAGAGAGAAAGTCCAAACCCTTCGAAGGGACAAAATACTTTAATCCGCTTTTTTATTCGTTGGATGCTGGAGGAAGGGATGCTAGAGTCTGCCAAATTTCTTCTGTGACCTCTATGATTGCCTCATCAATGGGAAGTGTGATTCTATTGCGATGCTTTGGGTGTAGATTTTTTAAGAGGCGGTGTTGTTTCATACAAATATCCTCTAACTGCACCTCCTGACTATCTGCAACATGCTTGAACAGATCCTGAAACTGTTTCAGGCCATCTGATGAGGAGACATCAGCTGGGATCACTGCCTCATCTAGAGAAGATGATGAGTGATCTGTTGGTGAAGGACCCTGCTGAGGATCCTGTGGGTCAGACAACTGACCCTCCTCAGGCTCAGAGTGTTCCAACTGAATCGTTGGGCTCTTCAGAGGAGGAGGTGACGATTGAGTGCGTTGAGGTACTGGTAAGTGAGAATTGGTAGATGAACAGCAGCGTGTGTGTCTCTTGTAGCATTGGGGGGTCCGGTCATGATGAATAGGGTTGTAGTATCCCCTGTGGTAATGACCATGGTACTGCTCTGAGCATGCAGGTGATGAATGCCTGGAAGAGAACACGCTGCTATGTCTTGTATAGTAATGCAGTCTTGGTGACCGGATGGGCGATCATGAGTAATGTAATGAATGCCTTGGAGATGAGGACTAAGAGAGAGAGCCTCCTCTCTCTATATCTTGGCTCTGTGTAGCAGGAATAGTCATCAGAAGAGACTGGGCTGCCTGCCCTATTGTAATGATGATGATGTGCTGTCAGGAAGGGGGGTGGCCCCGGTGAAAAAGTTGGAGCCGGAGAATTGAGCCCCAATTGCACAATTGCCTGTTCACAGGCTTCTCCCAGTGCCGTCGTGATGTTAGCCTGCAGCGGTGCCAGGTCATGAGGTGCTGAGGAGGCTTGCTCTGGTGCCGGCAAGCTCCCCTGATGCTTTGAAGTTACCAGTGCTGGCAGCGCCGATGCTGCCGGCATCACAGATGTTCCTGCTGCTGGTGCCGCGGGCATTACAGCTATTCCCACTGCCAGTGCCGATGTGCCCACTGTCGGCGGTGCGGCTGTCAGTTTGCACGGCCCCGCTGTAGCCAGGACCGATTGTGCTCTCAGTTCCACTCCTTCCCTCCGGGGAGCATGATCTGCACAAACTGCTCCAGGGCTACCACCTCGGCTACCTGGGCTGTCGTTCGCTGTTCAGGTTCCAGCCACCACCAGCAATGGTCGTGGATTTGTTGAGCCACGGCCCAGGGCCTGGCTCCCAGTGCATACTGCTCCTGCTGCAACTGCCAGTGATAGGTCTCTGGATTCACCCCAGGCTGGTCTAATATGGCAGCTTTCACTCAGAGGTACTATAGTGCCTCCCAGGAGTCCAGGGTCTGGTAAGCCATCTGAGCTGGCCCGGTCAGATAGGGCGCCAGCAGCGTGGCCCAATGGTCAGGGGTCCATCCGGCTGTGGTGGCCACCCACTCAAATGTCACCAGGAAACCCTCAGGATCATCGTGAGGTCCCATCTTGCTAAGCCATATAGGTAACTCGGTCACCCCTCCGCCGGTATCTGCTCCTGTCGTACTGTGAGCAGGAGGAGGGGCCACCTTCCAAAGTGTGGTGATTTGTTTCATCCACTGCACTTGCTGGGCTTGCTGATGGGTAGATAACTCCCTCAGAAGCTGCTGCTGCCACTGCTCCTGTCAATGGGTGGCCTGCAGCTGCTGCTGATTTGCCAATTGCTGAATCAACTGGTTTTGTAATTGCTGTTTTTGTGCCACATGCTTCTGCTGGTGGTCCGCCAGCCATTCTAACACCTTACTGGGATCCATCGTGGCACTCCGCCGTGCCTGGCAGGGGCCCTCTCTCCCTCCCCGGCACTGAAACAAAAGAACTCTACATTCCTGTTATGGCAGGGGAGGGATTGTCACTCTTGCCCACGTTCTCCAACAGTGTCACAGTGGTCACGCTGGAGGATAAATCTGGCCCAGTGGCCAAGTCTATACTGCCCCTTGTCTGGAGGTAAATATGTCCCAACGGCTGAGTCTATAATGCCCCCTGGGCTTGGGTAAATATGGCCTAGCAGCCGAGTCTATAATGCCTCCTGTCTGGGGTGAATATGGCCCAGCAGCTGAGTCTATAATGCCCCCCCGTCTGGGGTGAATATGGTCCAGTGGCAGAGTCTATAATGCCCCATGTCTGGGGTGCAAGGGTAGGGGAGTAAGGGGGCCCTCCCTCTCCACTGGGCCCCAGCCCAAGGCCTTATCAGCGGTGGGTGATTCCCACCACTGGCTTGGCAGGGAGTTGCTCCCGAAGCATGCCGAGTTCCCTGGGATACCTCTTGCTCTCTGCCCTGGGATGCTTCCTACCCCCATCCGCTGGCTGGCCCCATCCCCACCTGGGCTGGCAAATGCTGTGGTGTTGGCGGCTGTGGTTGGCATGGCAGTGGCGGCTGGTACAGCTGCTGTAGTTGGCGCAGCAGTAGCTATAGGTGCCACGGCTGTGGCCCGTGGTTGGCGCAGCAGCAAGGGCTGCAGCGGCTCGTGAGGCA